AAGTTTACTCGAATACGCATCCTGGTACCTACAGTCCTACTGGAGAGCGGCGCATCCGAGTAAGTGTCTCCAATATGCTTTTTCCCTGCCAGCAAACTTGACGACGCTGTTCGCAGCCTTTCTGCCTGTCGCTGCCTACACCATTTGTCGGCAGACGATAGAATAGGTACAGACGAAGTCAGGCTGGACCCCTTTATTACCAGGAGCGTTATTGGCCCGTCGCCAAAAGCGCCGAAGGGGACCACAGACGCATTCGGCGCCGCTGTAGGCCTCGCTGTTTCCACAGGTACTCTACCTCTGCAGTGTAGTCGTTTCAAGTAACGCAGAGTCACGCGTGGCTTCCACCGTGGTCTGGAGCTTTCCTCTCGGGGCAACGTGGGCGGGCCCAGCCGCACAATTGCGTGACACTGCTGAAGTGATACAGTGGCACACGATGTGTAACCAGGCGTCCCGTAAAACCGCAGAGCACGTCGCTTGTAGCGGGATCTAACTTGCAGAGTTCATTGCCGCCTAGGGACTTGCGGCGTACTGACGTTGATACAAATGCTGGGTTATCCACGTCTTGCACACCACTGAATCTTTGCAGGCGCTACATTACGACACGATTCGAAATGTGGAAGGGTGTATTAGATATGTTGTCTGGCCTACACAGTGCAGAAGTAAGGGCCAAGCCCCGGCCTGACGAGTTTGCTTTTAAAGCGGACGCAAATCCTCTTCTGTAGCACTATGGTCCGCCAACCACATGCAGTCCCCTTGTAGAGTCCAGCTCGACGTGGTATTCCATCAGGATATAAATCTTGCCTTATCGTCCGCCTCCCCCTCCAGCGTAGAAGCAGCTCCGTGCCTAGTAGCAAACAGAGCATGCCTCGGCCCGCTATGCTGGGTCTGTCTTCTGCAGAAATACACCGCCGCGCACTGACCAGATAATACCTGGGTCTACCGTCCTTTCTCTGCATAGGAGGTCTGTGTCGGCCTCCTGCAGACCTCAGCGTCTGTGAGACGAAAAGGCGACAACGCCCTCCACAATGCGGTCTTATGTATATTACCATCTGTGTGTCGACTTTCTTGCGGTGTGCCTCAAGCTTTCACGCGAGGCCGCGCAGCGCACACTACTACGGGGCACGAATTCTGCGTGCTACATTGCTGATTACTTACCTTCTTGAAATTCCAGATTACCTCTGCGCATCTGGGACCTGATAATTGGGGCGAACACGACCAGGCTCTATGGAGGATTTTGAGGCGTTGCAGCCTGGACAGGGGTCGTCGTGGTAAGTGCGCGTGTCAACGTCAAACCTTGCCCGAACCCTGTAGTTTCCCTGCAAGGATGTAGCGATACCTGAATCTCAGGTCACGTGGGCCTCCGCCCTCCGGCTCTTACTGGGGACGCTTTCGCGCATCCGGAGCGCACGGGGCCTGTGGAGGTTGCTTGCACCCCTTGCGGCGTCTCCAGCATCACCTTCACGATATGCACGCGAGTATCCCACGCTGGAGTCACTGCGTACGTCTCGCCTGAGAGTATGCTAGTTCCTCCAAAAGCCAAGAGCGTGCGCGCACGCCCTCCGCGGCCCCTCTGCGGTGGCTCGGCAATGTCGGCCTCCCAGCCTCGCGCTACGCTGTTCCTGCGCCTTCTCTGCTTTTTCAAATCTAGCGCGCAGTGGTTACCCACACCGGCTTCCGCGTTCACCCTGAGCCGATTGTTCTCTTCCGGACCTAGTAGAACTAATGAAATATTCTAGCGAGGGGGCTCCGGGGACGCAGCCGTGCAGTCACCGCTGAGGTCTTTTTGCAGCAAAGCCCACGAGTAGGAAACCAGCTACAATCTGATACCGCTCTGCTTCGGATACCTAAAAGGCGCCGTGGGCAGGCTCTGCTTCGGAGAGCATCGCTGCGTATCAAAAAGGCAACGACGGTTCACCTTCGCTACAAAGCCCTTCTACATATTAACAGATGGGGCAATCCAGCTAGCGGCGGCAGACTCCTTCCTCCTCCTTCGGGCGGATGTGTACAGCTAGCGTACTGTGTCACCGCATAGCGCACGGCTCTGCTTGGTGCATTTCGAAAGACGACACTATGCTGTCGGTCTGAAACGAATTCCGTGCCTAGCTAATGCAGGTGTGGTGCCGTGAGCCTGTCATAAGTCCGAGTCACAGTACTGACCGGTAACAGTTCCCTTATTTCCTCGGGATGATGCACTTGTCAGCAGAAAAGAGAGAGATTTTTCCGTGGTGCGCGGTCCCGCCTAAGGCCTGTCCAGCGGGTTGTAAGTTCCAGCTCACTTCCTAGTAAGTAAGTAAGCCTCGCCACCACTACAATACCAGCCTTAGCACCCCCGCGAGCAATACCGGATTCTAAGTATCATAATCTTCCTTGACCGTTTGCTCGCGCATCGAATGATGCGTTAACCGCAAGCACCTACAGCATATCCTTCTTCAGTATTCCCCTCCTACTCCATGTGGGTGATGCGGAAAATGCAGCGCGACAGGAACAGATGTGGCGACCGTCAGGCGATGCTAGGCTCTTTTTACCGTCATCGTCAGCGCCCGGGAGTCGCATGCTCGCAGAAGAGGGCCCCAATGACGCTCTGCACCGCGCGACGGCTGCGCTTATGTGAACAACGGATACGTCGTTGTATCCCTACACTTTGCAGCTGTCTCTGCGGGAACGGTGGTCGCACACGCTGGTGCAGGCGAGCGTCCTGAACGCACGATATCTAGAAGAACTATTCTGAACCTTCCTCGCCAGCGCTGTACAACGACATAATCAGGCTTGCTGGCGCCCTCCACCGACTCGCTCGCTCGTCTCTTCGCGACCTGACGTCATGTGTACGGGACCGGCGCACAAACGCCTTTTGCCACGTGACTACAGACACTGTGCGAACGACCCGTACCCTCTCGCATCCAGCTCTTTCGGCGCATCAGCCAGTGGGCGGACTGTATATACATCTTTTTCTCATCTGCGCGCACTCCCTTCAGTTTCAGTTGCCGAACTCTATCCTACGAGTACGCACCGTGGCGCGACTTTTCCGGTGTTGAAGCGGTCTCTAGGTATCCGCGCTGTCCTGGCGCATATGCGCCGCGAACTCGAAGCAGGCATGCAGGGCGCTGATTCGTCCAAGCACCACAGAAACAGTAGCAGTACGTGATGAATTCGCGGGCGCGTATTCAGCGTCGCGGCTCCCGCATCATCTCTCCGAGGTCTCGTGCTATGCCTGCAGCAGCTGCATTCACTCCACTTCGTGCCACCCACGAAAGGGCACCGAGCTTAGCGTTGCGCGCAGTACGATTCGGGGCGCGTACACACGCGCACATATACTACAAAACGGTATATGCCAACACAAAGCCCCGGCGGCAGTGATATTTCCTGCCCTGCTGAGGCCGGCGGTGTACTAGATTGCCGGCGGTACTGTAAAGCACCTAGTGTTACGAGGACAAATCTGGGCTTCAGTGTTCTGTCGTGCAAGTGCTTCTGATGCGCGCAGAATCGAACACACGCACGCACATGGTGGGTTTTTCCTTTGATGCTTTCGGCGATGATCCCCTGTCCGCGTCGTCCCAAGTTCTTGTAAGGACACCTAATCCATTTCCTTCATAATAAAGCTGAGCGCGATACACCGCCAGGACGAAGAGCGTCGAGGCGGAGTCTGCTAGACGTCGTGCACTCTTCTAGCAGTGTAGTACGATCAACTGGCATCTCGGACCTCGCCTCAGCGCGAAGAACAGCAGCGTCTCCTGTTCCACTCACTGCAGGGATGACGAAGGCTTCGGTACTCCTAGGAGGCCCCGCCGAGGTAGACAGGGCCGGCGAGTTTCGCGATCAGTATTTGCGCAGCTAGTTCATTGTTTCCGCTGATTTCACTACGCGAATGGAACAAGACTGAATCCGACGTTATGCTGCCAACAGGCTTCGCGCCAGACAGCCGTAATACGAAGAAGACCGGGCCCTCTTCGGCAGCTTCGGCAGCTGCGGAGAACGACAAAAGGTCTTCCGTTGTCCCGAGTTTGTGTCACCACCCCCCGCTGCGTCACCGCATGCCAGGCGGAAGCGCGCTGGTACCTTACGCAGAACTTTAATGCAGCCAGCGTCGTTGCGCTGTTGCGAAAGGAATTGCAGCAGTTGAAACAACATGCTTAGCTTTGTACCCTTCTCCTTGACCTTGCCTGCTCGTGGTTGATGTGCAGGTTTCAAAAACGGATCGCTGCGGCATGTGTTCGACTGCACACGCGCTAAAGGTGACAGGACCAGGAATTTTCATTGTAGTACCGAGAATACCGGCACTGGCGAGGTAGTTGAAAGAATTATCATGCCCCGTGAGCAGACAGAACTCTGTGAACTGCTGGCGGTGAACGCATCTAAGCATCACTGGTGGAGGCACAAATGTAGTCACGGAGGTCTTGACGCGCTCCACGTTTGTTTTAGGAAGAGACATATGGATGCCCACATTCAACGTGAAATGCGTTGTGAGACCGCCTAATATACCGCATCGTGCTGCAAATAGCCAGCCTCGCCTGATGACCTCGACACTCAGGACCGCCAATCGACTGTACTCCAGCCGTTCCGTAAAAATTCACCTAGAGCACTATTGCGCACGTAGCATCTCGCAGATGTCGGCTTCCACTTGCCAATCCGTGAAGGCGTTTTCAAATTGACATTACCTTGGCGTCGGCGCTGCGCTCGCGTCAACCTTCCGCATACGGAATAACGTCATCCTCCACAGTCTAGACTGCAAGTCTCCCGCTGGCTCGCTGGGTGTTGCCGTCCGCCGGGACGTCCCGTCGCTAGAGAATCTGAACCCAGATATAGCAGCTAGCTGGGAGACCTGCGTTGGCGTCGTGCTCTTAGCGAGGAGCATGGACTGCAGTGCTGTCCAGGCGTAGCCCTACTATTCTCATCGCTCCTCTTCGCTTTAGTGAGCCTGCACTGCGTGTTCCGACACACCACGCTGGAGTGAGAGCTGAATCTAACTACGCGGACAGTACATACTAGCTTGACAGTTTTCACACGGTCTTGGTTGCGATTCGCGTGAGGCGCTGCGGAAGGGTTCAAGCACTTCGTCACGATATACGTACACATACCTACATTTACGCCCGTCAAAATTTAGAGCCACTGCTTTCGCAGACGCTGCGCTTTATATACTCAGACGCGACATCCTCTCTCCCACGTTTGCCGTACTGCACCCTCCGGGGCTACCCACGCTTACGACACGCTACCCAGTAAGTGTCTCTTCTTGTATTCTCCAGTGAGAGAGGTCCTCCGAGCCCCGAAGCACCAGTGGCCGTGCGCGCGCAGAACTCTCTCCCTCACGCATAACACTCTCGACCACGGCGCTGCCTTGAGCTACCGTGCAAGCCTACGGCCTCCCCTCTTGAGACTGTCTCCTTTATAAGAGCCCGCTTCATTCCGCCTCGCCGTAGTTTCCAGGCGATGCGCTAGAGAGTCTACAGAGATGTTCTGATTGGTGACGTTCTGCATCCACAGACTGCCTTGTCACGATGCACAAAGCCCTTTTTCCTGTCAGACGCCTGAGATATGGATGGAAACATATGAGCTGCCCGTCGCTGGGACGCCCAGGCAGATGCGTGGCCTGCCTACTGCTGATATACATGCATGGTGGTTCCGCGAAGTAGAGGTAACTTGCCCTCTTTACAACGGCGGTCAGCGGGACAAAAGCACGAGCAGCCACCTGAAGGGCGACAAAATTGCTGCTGCTCCTGCTGAGCTAGTCAGTCTGAGGTGTGGACAGGCTCTTCTTTTGATGCCGCTCACTTTCTCTTTCTGCTCCATCCGTTCCGGAAACACAAAGCTATGGTGTGTAGAGGCCCTCACGCAAACTCTCTGTCCCGGAGCGCAACTCTGATGTCGACCCCCTTGCTTAGAGTATGGAGCGCAGCCGTGTTGCCCACCTCAGTGCCGAAGTTTCTTGCAGAGCGAAGGATAACAACTTTGCCTGCTTCGTACGGGCCGCAGGAAAGCCAGAATGCACGTAATCTTACAGCGTCTGATCCTCAGTCGTCGCATTCGTCAAGGCTAAAGTGCGATCGATCGACCGCTCTCCTCGACGTCCGCGGCGAAGGGTGTAGAACATGCCTGGTCCACACGATATAAGTGCACTACAGAAGTCTCCGCCCTGCTTCTCCCTCGCAGGCAACTCCCGTGACTGCGGAGACTAAACACATTCTATCCATCCTTCACCGTCCTCCTCGGCAGACCCTGCGTCCTCCGTTGCGCCAAAGCAGAATGCAACGCGCAAAGAGAGACTCCGGAAACGCCCAGGCAAGCGCACTCGCCAGTAGGTTCAACACTTGCGCTAGGGCCTCGCCAGTAGGATCCACACTTGCGCGAGTGTCGCTGTTCTCACCTGCTGCTGGAAGTCGCAAGCGAGCGCAGGAGTGGCCGCGGCTTTCATGCGCCTGGGTCGTAGTCTAGGCACCATCCTCCTAGTTACTTTACGTGTAACCTACCACGCACAGTAGAACGCACCGAAACGCCCTTGAACGCGTTCTGCGCACAGCTGCGGAAGCGTGTGGACAGCTCTCCCTGATGCGTACCGAACCGACGTGCAAGGTTCCCTTGGCGCTTGAGAAGACAAGACGTGGCGTACGCCCGTTTGATTCCCATCCGTGTTCGCAGCCAATCCACCAGTAGACAGCCTCTCTACTTATTTCTCGCCTCCGAGCAATATTTGTAGATGCACACGCTAAAAATTGTACTACGCATAAGGAGCGCCACGTACGGGCTTCCGTCTCCATATGCCTCGCCTTACTCTCCATACTCGCTCTCGCTTGTCTTTTAACCGGACCGACCCTTCAACAATGTACATTGAAGGCGGGGCAGAAGCAGCCGTTAGAGGACTCCGCTCGGTTGCGCGAGGTTTCCTTGCCTTTGCGGCTCCGCCACAGCGCGCCACAACGCATCTGGACGCTTTCACGCTGCGGCACCGAGAAGCGTCGCTCCCGTAAGCGCGGCGGACATGGTAATTGTTCGCTTCTGACATCGCCGAAGTTCATGTGCATGGAACGGGAAGGTACTACTTGCTGGCACTGCCACGAATATGAGCCTACACAAACACGGCCACCTCCCAGTCGGCTGCTACTTGAGCTACTTTAAGTAAATGATAGCACCCTACTGCGCCGAAGAGTAGGGATGCAGGTGAATGCATAATATCTCGATTTCGGTGCAGTGTTAAGTACAGCAGGAGAAGCCCCTACCATGAGTACGTGCTTGTGCACTGTGTTTGTCCGTTGCTTCCTACAGTTTCCAACCCTTTTTCTGCGAAAGCGGCGGTTCCTGGGCCAGCACTTTGTACGTCCCTCTAATAAGATGATCTCCTGGCATAATTGTAGCGCCGCTCAAGGCTGGGGCGGAGCTTGCTCGCCCCCCCGCCTTCTACCGATGGACCCAAAAGGAGTACGTGTAATACACGCTGTGGCCTCGCCTCGTGGGATGTCGGCCCCTGCCGGCTGCTGCAATCTCTGGACGCTCCACCAGACCGCACTCCTGAATAAACGGCACTTGGTGCTACAGGTACGGGGGTGTATGCCCGACTGCACAAATTGGAGAGCGAGGCTTTACTTCTTCGCCGAGACTGTGAATCCGCTTCACAGTGTTGGCCCGGCATCCGTCCGGCAACTAACAGGGTCGAAGAACGTCGTCGCAACCACAAAGCAGGCTAGAGCCTGCGCAGAAAGTCGAGAGCAGCAATCAAGACTCCTTCACAACCTGCGAAGCTCCTATAGCCCCGACGGTGCGTCACAATGCCAAAATCACGGGTACCTGGGGGCCGGTTGGAGGGTGTTATCTGCACAACAGCTGCCAGGGATGTCCAGATAAGCTCAGCAGTGTACACCGGTGCCGCAGGTACTGCTCTCGCGTGAGGGTTCCTATATCTTCGGTGCACTCGTCTTGAGAGGGCGACAACGCAGCACCCGACGTGGCTCTGATAGCGCGTTTGAGCTTCCTTCTCGAGACGGCAAAGTCAACAGAGCCGTGCCGTTGTATCAAGTCGACGCAGTAATACCTTGGTTGGGGGGTTTTTACGTACGCGATATCTCGGGGAAGATCAGAGCGCCACGGGTGCGGGCGGATAAGGGATCCAACGTGCAGGTGTCTGGCGCCTCCGCTGGCGTGCAACGTGTACCGAGCGGTACAGGCAACGGTTTCCCTTGTTTTGTTTAGCACGGAACGCGCAAACGCCCGCGCCGCGCACCTTTTACAATGTAAAATCAAGCGGTACAGCGGATGCCGCACAGAGTAATAGCGTTCCGCTCGCAAGTCGGCATCAGGCGTCACGCTGCCATAGATCGGGCGCTTCCTGGAGTGCGTGCGCACGTCATTCTGTACGACGGAGTCTATCCTCTCTCTCTCCAAAACGCCATAGGCAGTCCTCCTGACGCCGCCCCCCACGCAAGAGCGTAAGCCTAGCGTTGCCGCTAGGTTGGCGGCGGCATTTCCCGTGAGAAACGCGTCGTCCTTGGACCCCGTCAAAACCTCGCGGACTGACCTCACTTTTCGTAGCACGACGCTGCAGTTCAACGGTCTAAACAGCGCAGACTCGTTTCCCAGCCGCGAAGGACTTCACGTTCTCTATATTGAACAATGCTCGATCAGCAAGGGTGTCCACAACAAGTGTTTTTGCCAAGCCCTCCTCCTAATGCTTTATGCGCGCGTATCCCCCTTCAGTGTGTCTCAGCACCGCAGAAAAAGTGCCAGGCCATATAATAGGCGCGTGCCTGCATGCGAATACTAACACCGTCGATTCCGCACACGAGCGCACCAGTTCATACTATAGCTTTGTATCGATGCGCACTAGCGCATCTGTCGACATACACGTCGCTACCGGTGGGCACGGAGAGGAAGAACAGCGTGTGATAAGGCAATCACGATCGGCCACATCACTAGGTGTGGTGCGTACAGGGGCTTCCGCCTAAGCGGCGCGGGTCCTTGCTTACTCAGATATAGATCTGTAGCTGGCGATCGCTAGAGCGTGGGCCTTGCTGCTATTACTTACGTTGCTTCGCACCCAACCAGCGTATTCGGCGTGCAAGGCTCCTTGCCGTTCTGCTGAGGATTGTGCCCCTAATCCAGACGTCTGCAAAGCTCCGCCAAAATTCTAATGTCCTCGGCGCCAACGCGCGGTCTCCCGTGCCTTTCGACGGCCAAGAAGGATGACAGCGCACGCAATTTAGTCATCGTTTAGCCGGATGCTCTTCTTGGCATCGGAATGAAGGGCGGCAAGGGAAGAGTTTTTCCTCCTTGCAGTGCTGCCCAGCTACTACTCTCGTGTGCGCACAGAGGCGTAGAGCCTTGTTACGTCGAAAGATTTGACTATCGTTTTGCGTCATCGACCGCAACAAGTGCGTCTGCGCTAGCGGAGTCGACCGGATTGCTGCAGACGCTGGAGGTCTGTGATAGTAGCCCGCTGCGCCTCCATTGCTGTTTCCTGAACAGGTCAGGCGAAGAGATGTACTTGAGCTACGCTCTGTGTCAACGGAGTGAAGCCTCTTCTTCCACCGATGCCTGCTCCACTCCGGCTCTACGCTAATCAGCTGCAACGCGACGTCAGCCTTTTATAGGGTCAATGAACGCATAGACACATACGAGAGACAAGGGCACAACAGTGGATGAGTGCCCGTGCCGAAATGAGCTGTACGTTCGGTGCCCTACGAAGAAGTAGACCACCGCCGATGGCATCTTTGCAGTAGGGTAGCTTACCAACTGCCAGTGTTGCACGGTCCTCGTGATACACTTGTTCGGTGTCGCAAGGTTTCAAAGCCCGCGCCCCACACTTCTTAGCCAGGTCTGTTGACGCCTTCACTATGGTTGGATCCTCCCTGCACGCGAGAGAGAAGCACTGTGTGGTAAAGATAAGGCACGTCTCATTTCTCTCTACAACACAACGGCTAGAGCAGACAGGGTCTTCCGCGTCGCCCTAGTTCGCTGTCAGTGCTCCGCGCATCCAGCGTGTCCACTCCTCAGTCCTTGCTCAGGCCCGTCGCGGACGCCATACACCATCGGCACCGCCTGATGTAGTACTTATCGTCTTCTGCAGGAATCTCCCTACCATCAGTGTCACCGTCACTTCACTAAAGACAGCACCACCGCCACCGCAACGCAGAGGCCCTACGCGTCTCTTGCCGTACTGATCGTCGTGGCGCCTTCCCGCACTCCAAGATAGACCCCCGCTTACAGCGTGTTTCCCTGCTCTTATTCGCGCCATAGCAGAACGTCAACGTGCAGGGTGTCAGGATGCAGCAGCAGACCTGGAAGCATTCTTGCTATGCTCCAGCGCAAAAGCCAGTTTCTGCAGCGCCTGCCATCGCCAGGTTGCCCAGCCAGACACGCGTATTGCGCCCGGTTCCCGGGGCCGAGACGGGCCGCCACCACAGACGCAACACGTGATAGAGAGAACAAAAAAGGCTTGGGACCGTTGTGAAAATGGCGGGCAAAGACCCGCGTGCGCCGGAGTCGTCGTGCACACAGGAGATTTGAAGCAGCTCTTGTGCATAGACGTCTCACCGGCACAGTAGGACGGGGTTCCCATTAGTCAGTCACCCATTTTCATAGCCCTTCACGTGGCTCTCGCCTGTTTCTGTCCCGTCTACGCATGCCGCCGTCCCACACCGTGCGTAGTTCCTGCATTAATCCATGTCCCATGGCCCAGCAGCTCTCGGGGATTCAGCAGTCGCGTGGTCTCTTACAATTACGGAACACTCTTTGCGTGCCCTCCTTTTATGTACGGCGTCCTCATATACCCGCTGTCCACAAGTGCCTCAGCGTAACGACGACCTGAAGGGGTATACGAAGCTTTGGGCCTATCCACCGCCATTCACACATCAGCGACGCAATGTACGTCACCTCTGCCTGCGTGCGGTCTTTGCGTCGGCTTGACGCCAAACTCTGCGTCCCTGTGCTGCCTTACAGAGTAGAGCCTCTGTAATGGTGTCGGACTCGACGCCGCGAGGCTGTTGACAGGAATTATATCGGAAATGCGAAAATACATATGTATGCATGCATATATAGACATCAAGGTATTAGGTACACTGGCATAAACCTCGACTTTTAAAGCTTCTCTCCGTCCTTCAAGCGACCAGGACTGCGCTCCGCAGGCGGCGTCACTTCAGCTCGTCAGGTGCAAGCAGCATGTAACAGCTTCCACACGGGCGCCCCACTGCGCTCTTTTGCGACAGGTGGGGATGATCCCACTCCCGTGTGACGCGTTTCCCCCCGGCTGGCTCGTTCAGTTGACGAAACCTTCTTTGTAGCAAGCTACCCTTCGCGTGAAACGAGGTCTCTGTGCCCCCTCCTAAATAAGCCGTGCGATATATCATCGGGCTGGTCAACTCTGGGGTTCTGGTTGCAGTTTGCACGTGGAGTGAGATAAAAAGAGAGCATCGCAGGCGGTGGCACCCGCATGCCGAACGCTGGTCCTGCGCTTTCCACAAGTTTTGCAGTTGCGAAACCCGCTAGCGCTACCCGAGCGGTCCCGGAGGCACACGTGCATCTTCGCAGATCTCACAGTAAGCGTTGACACAATGACTTTATTGCTTGCGCTGGTCCCGGTGGCCTCTGTAGTCCTTGGGACTGCGCAGCCGGCCCTTTCTCATAGTGTTGAGACTCCTTCACGGCGTTCAAGCCGTGGTTGTGCCCCCGGCGCATCGACGCGAGAGACAGACCTGATAGTAGCTCATGATGCTACAGCTTGCTCCCGGCAAAATAAAAGTGTTTAAGCCCACCATACCGCCGCCGAAAGAGTACAGGTGCTCACCGTGTAAGTGTGGCTAGTGAAGGCACCTACTCCGCTGACCGGAGGGCTTCTCCCGGAAACGCGTGCGTGCACCGCTCGCCGCAGGTCAGTCAACGTCGCTGTTGACGAGCGTGGCTAGAGCGAGAGTTACCGTTATGTCACAAGAACAAAACTAGGGAAGGCGGCGTGAATCGGGCACTATACGGCGGCCGGAATACTTCTGCAACCACAGTTCAAATGTTGGCGGCCCTCTTCAAACTCACCGTGCATCGTTTGGGTGTCCCATTACGTATCGGACACTGTGAAAATTGCTCAGCCAGAGACGTCTAGATGCCCTCGTCGCGTGTCCTTTCGAGTTACAAAGGGGGTCTCACAGGAATTGTTGCATAGGCTTGTGGCTCTCGCTTCGAAATTCAAAGTTCAGCTCTCGTGCAAATGTACCGAGGCCCGCGAGAGAGAACCGACCGGGTTCACCGTGTCGGAAGCGTCAGCCGCAAATCACTCCCTCCTCATTCACACCGACGTCGCCGTTATGTAGAGTTCTGCGGCCGCCAACTACTGGCGTCAGCCTCCACCATGCAGACTCCCGCTGTCCTCCGTCGCGCATGGGGATGTCTACGGCTCGTCCAGGTGTTACCAGCGCTTGCGCGGCAACGTCGCCGCACAGCTTTACCGGATTGTTTGGAAACAGCTTTTTCTTTTCGCCGAGACAGGTTTTTCTGCCGGTGTGCACAGTCGTGCGTAATTAGCATGGACGCAGACGACAGGTTTTCTTGCATATGCTTTCTTCCCGTTCCCGATCCGCACCCCACCCGCTCTTTACCGTCGGCTGGCCTCAACGTAGGACACATTGCCGCGTTTTACACTAGGCATGGGCACGATAATTCACCGCGACACCACAAATGGCACCTACCCACTGAGGAATTCACATCGTGGTTTCCAGTCGTAGTTCCCGAAGCATCTGCTGGGTGCCACGCCCTAGATTACTGCCGTCGCACGCGCCCCGGCGCTGTCTGTCTCGAAGGTCTGGTGTACCTGGGCCTACCGGGGTAGTTCTGCCTTGCCGTACTACAGCCGCTATTCAGCTCTCGCTGAGGCCGCTCTGCATGTCAGCACTGCGTCATGCCTGCACGGCTCTGCGGCTTCCAGCGTACGGTTTTCTGGGCTGCTCCGACGTGTACGTAGTTTGACTGCGTCGGTCCTATTGCTTGGTGCCGTCACTTTGGAGTGGTGCTTTGCGAATCTCTATGCGACAAGGATGATGCGGGCGCGGGCCATGCGCTATGCATACTTGTGCACCCGACAGTACAGAGGTGGCATTCCTCGGAGAGCTGTCACAGTTCCAGCACTGTACTTTCTTCTCCGAACACGTTACCACCAAGGACGCTAGGTTTTCGACACGTGGCAGCAGTGCACATTCCTGCTGGGCTTAGAAAGGCAATTCGGGCGCCCCAGTGACTTAGCGCCATTCAGGCCTTGCATTCGGGCCGAAGGCACACCACCAGTCCTGCATTCCGCCAGAGTCCAAGGAAATGCACGAGAAGGCCTAGGAGATCCCTGTTTGCGGAAGGTGGATAACGACGCTTCTTCAGTGCCTATATGAAACACAACTGTTGCCACATTGTGTCAACTCAGAGCGGCGATCTGTCATCCGAGCGGCGGCACTTTCGCGTCTGTCTCGCACAGTTGTGGAAGTTTTTCTACGCTATGCAGCGAGTGACACGTAAACAAAGTTTCGAGAACAGCGTAGCATACTCTCTCCCGCTGGTCCACGAAGTTCCGCAACACAACGCTATAGTATGAAGGTGCTTTGGAGTACGTTAACCTTTCCCCCCCCCCCCCCCCCCAGCCACTGCTAATCCACCTCTGGTACCTGCAGCCGTGCTCAGAGTACGGGTTGTAGCTTTTGAGAGAATCTCCGTCGTAGCGGTGAAAACGCTGCGTGCGGGAATGTCTTTCGTCGCCATTCCTCACGATTTAGCAGGGAAGACAGAGGCTTGCCACGACGCATTTTCCGAGGGCACACTGGTACAACCTACAGCGCCAGCGGTCCCGCGCGAGCAGTGGTTCATCGCGTCGTTGCGAACAGCATAGACCACGCCTCCTGCGCGCGACAAGGCTGGTCTCTACTTCTACAGCGGCCTCTGCACTACTTATCGCCGTTGGAAGCACCCGACACCAGGGCTACAGCTACCTTTCTGTTAGGTCTCACCATCCTCCACGGCAAATCATTCGTCCTCGCTCGCGCCAGACCAAAAGAGCATTACGCGGACACGGAGCCCGAAGTCGCTCACCCGGCAGCATTTACCAGCGACAGCGGCGAGTGCTCACCTCTCGCTGGATGTGGCAAGCGACCCCACGCGTCGCCGAGTCTTTCATGCGGCTGGGTCATAGTTGGAGCGCGGTCCTCATAGCAGCTACTTCCCGCGTAGCGTTATGTAGCACGAGAATGCGCCACAATACGTTTTCGGAGGCGCTCACACACAGACCTGAAAGTGTGTAGAAAACCCCCTCGGATTTCTAATGAAGCGAAATGAGACGTCTCTTTAGGTGCTGATGAGATAAGGTGTGGCGGACGCCCATTTGATTGCCGTCGCCGTCCGCAGTCGATCCCGCAATGGCCAGACTGTGCTTCCGTCCGCTGCTCGCCTCCGAGCAACCCCCACAGATGCAGACCGTGCAAGCTATACTAAGCATCAAGAGCAGGGCGTGTTTTCCCCCGGCTCCATATATCCTGTCTTTCTCTGCATAGTCGCTCTGCCCTGTCGGCCACTCGAGCCGGGCCTTCAACTGTGTACACTGGGCGCGAGGCCGGAAGCAGCCGCTAGAGGAATTCATTTCGATGTGTGGGGATTGCTTGCCTTTGCGCCCGTGCCAAGACTAGTATAAACAGTTCTCTCTTCACCACCAATGAACCTCGATCCAGTGATGGCCGGAAACACGGTGACTGTTTGATGTTGAAATTGCCTGCAGTACATGTGTATGGAAACCCGCGACCAGAGGGCACTGACATACCTACGAGCAACGTTTAGCACAGCTATGTCCAATAAAGCTGAGACCGAAAGTAAATTCAGTGAATAATGATACTCTGCTGCGCCGGATTGTGCATGTGCACGTCACCTGCACTTCGCAGCAGCTGCTGAGTACAGCAGCAAAAGTCTCTACCATGAGCATATCCTCATGCTGCGCGTTTGCCCGTTGTGTCCTGCATTCAAAGGCGCTTTTCTCGCGGAAGCACCGGTTTCCGGGCCAGGGCGTGGTGTGTCTTCCTTATAAAAGGATCCGCAGGCATACTTGTCGCGCCGCTCAAGGTCGGAGCAAAGCTTGCTCGGCTCCCTGCCCTCTCCCGATAAACCCTAACGGGGGGCGCGTAACGCATGCCACGGTGTCGTCTCATGGGGCGTCGGCCTCGCCGGTTCCTACAAACTTTGCACGCCTCACCAGGCCGCAGTCCTGAGTAAAGGACAATTGCGGGCACAGATAGGAGCATGTATGCCCGACAGGACGCACCGGACAACGAGCTCTGTTTCTTCGCTGACACTGGGAGATTACCGCATCCGGCGGCATGCGGCCTGCCTCCAACCGCCCCGGTAAGCGCCGTCGTAACAGCGAAGCAGGCAGAAGCCCGCGCAAGAACTTGAAGAGAAGCAACTAAGGCTACTTCACGAATTGTCGAGCTGCTGTTGGCCCAACAGTCTGTCAGACTGCTGCCCCCATGGGTACGTGGGGAGCGCGTTAAGGACCTACTTGCAAATTAGCCGCCAGGGGAGGCCGGATAAGCTAGCCGTATACAGGATTGCTGCAAGTACTACCCTTGCATGAGGCTTTGCGTGTCATCCATGCACTCGTCTCGAGAGGGCCACAACGCTGCCCCCAGCGTGACTCTCACGGCCGGTTCGAGCGTCCTTCTCTACGCGGCCTAGTCAACAGAACCGTGCTGCTGTATCAAGTCGACGCAGCTATACCTTTGCTGGGGGTATCCGACGCACGCGATATCTTGGAGAAGACCAGATTCCCACGGCTGCGGGCGGTTAAGGGATCCAACGTGCAGGTGTCTGGCACCTCCGCTGGCCTGCAATGTGTACCGAGCAATATAGGCAGTGATATTCTTAGTTGTGTTTGGCATAAAAAGCACACGTGGCCGCGCCGCGCACCTTCTACAAGATGAACCGCGGAGAGACAGTGAATGATGTACGGACTAGTAGCCCTCAGCTCGGAAGCAGTCGTTCGGCGTTGCACTTCGGCGTACCGAGATTCTTCGTAGAGGGTGGGCACACATCATTCTCTGCAACGGAGTCCACCCTCTCTCTCACAATCCGCCAGAGGCAGTGCTCTGACGCAGTTACCCACGCAGAAGCTTAGCGTCACCCCAAGGACGGCGTGAGCATTCCCCATGGGAAGCGCAGCGTTTTTCGCGGACTGCGGAGCGTGTCATGGGCTCGCAGGCTCGCTCGTCTTGTTTGTAGCAAGGCCCTGCGGTGAAGGGATCTACACTCTTGAGTGTAGACTCGTTTCTCAGTTGCGAAGAGCCACACGTTCTCAACGCAGAATGGTTTTTGAGCAGTGGAGTCTCGACGGCAAATGTTTTTGCCGAGCTCTACCGATCACGCTTTGCGCGCACGTATTCTCCTTCGATAGGTCCCAGTACCCGCAGAAAGGATGCCCCACCAAATAGTAAGGTCGGGCACGCAGGCGGATAGTAACGCCGTTGGTTCCCCTCACGAACGTACTAATGCACGCCATAACTTTGTGTCGATTCACATCAGCGCATATGTTGACATACACCCCGCGAATGTCGGCTACGGTGACGAAGGACAGCCTATAAAAAGGCACTTACAATTGGCCGTGACGTAAGTTAGGGTGTGTACGATGGCCTTTCGCCGAAGCGGCTGAGGCCTTTGCCACTCAGATAAACACCCGTACCACGCGGCCGCTAGACCCTCGGTCGTCGCTACGAGAGATGCTGCTTCCCAGCCATCGACTGCAGTCGGCGTAAAGGGCTTCTTATCGTTCTGCCGAGGATCATGTCCGCCCTGCCGACGTCCATGAAGCTCCAACGGATCGTGATGTCCTCCCCATTATCCCGAAGTATACGTATTTTGCGGCCTTCGATTGCCGAGGATAGTCTGGGCGCTAGCTCTGTGGTCAGAGCTGGTCTCCCCCGCATCGAGCTGAGCGACCGCAAGAAAATGGTCTCCTCCCCACTGCAGTCCTTCCCAGCTGCTATCGGGTACACACGGAGGCACAGGGTTCCGCCACGTGGAACGACTTCGGCGGTGGTCTAGGGCCATCTGCAGCAACAACTAGTTACAGGCTAGCGACCTTGGTCGGACAGGACCAGCAGAGTGCCGCGCGCAATGTCCTCATTCCTGTTGCCTGTAGAGAACACGCCGAAGGGGCTACTAGAGGTCTGTGCTGTGTTAAAGGGTTGCTGCCCTTCTGCAACCCAGCCTGGCTTCGTATTCCAACCAAGGGAGTTTCGAAGCAGACGCTGCAACCAAATTTTTCCCATGTCAATGAGAGTATCGACATAAACAAGGGACAGGCCTACAGCACTGGACGGGGTGCCATTCTCATATAAGCTCTACGCAATATGCTCTGCACGGAGTAGTTTATCGCCGATAGCATCTTTGTCATGCTTAGCTTACCATCTGTTAGTGGTGCACCACCCCTCGGAATACACTTGCACGGGGTCTCACTGCTCTAAGGCCCGCGCTCTGTTTTTCCTCAGTAGACCCGGTGCCGACGTCACCGTGCTCGGGCCTGCACGGGGCAAGAGAGAAGCAGAATGAGGCGACAATCAGGCGCCTCTCCACTTCATATAGCACAACGGCTGGCTGAGCAGACAGAGTCCTCCGCGTCGAGGCCGTTCGCGGAAAATGCTCCCGGCGTCCAGCGTCCCCCATCCTACGGCGTCGCTCACGCCCGTCGCGAAGGTCGTACGCCGAGGTGCCGCCACCTTGTGCAGAAAATTTCGTCGTCCGCGATATTTTCGGCTATCATCGGTACCCACGTCCTCGTCACTACAAACACCACCACCACTGCAGCGCAGAGACATTATTCATTTCTTACGGTAGTGATCGTCGTGACGCCTTGCCACACTCCAACATCGGTTCTTATCTACGATATGTCTTGTGGTGTTACTCGCGCCACAGCAAAGCGTGAATGTGCAGCGTACGAGCAGGCCGGGAGGAACCCTGGAGTTCTCCGAAACTGGACCGCTTCTTGCAGCGCTCACCGTCGCCGGGCTGCCGAGCAAATCAGGAACGTCGCACCAGCTTGCAGCGGCCGACAAACGGCTCCAACACATATGGAACAGAGCATCAAAAGAACCAAGCAAGAAGTAGCCTCGGGCATGGCGGGCAGAAGCTCTGGCGCGCGGGAATCGCCGTGGACAGTGTGGGGTGAAAGCAGCACTTCTGCACAGGTTTCTCATCTGCGCAGTTGGACCAAATCCCCGCGAATCATCAGGCCTGTTCCACACCCCATCACATGCTGCCTGCATACTTCTGTCCCACCTAGGTCTGCCGGCGCCCCGCACTGTGCAGAGACCCCGCATTGATCCATGGGCCTCCGCTCAGCGCTTTTCCGGGCTTCCGCAGCCATGTGGCCTTCTACAAGTGCGAGAAGCAGCCAGTGTTTGCCCTTCTGGATGTACGGCGTCCTCATATCCCCGCCCTGCACCCGTGCTTCCCCGTAATGAAAAGATGAAGACGTCTAGAAGGCTCCGTCCTGTCGATCAGCATTAGCACATCAGTAGCGCAGTGTGCCTCGCGACTGCTCGCGTGCGGTCTGCGTTGTCTTCACGGTAGCTAGATGTCAGCTTTCATCCCCCTGAACCGCCCTAGAGAGAAGAGCTTTGTAGCCGTGTCAGACTCTACATTGCGGCACTATAGGGAGGTCAGATACGGGATACGGGATAACACATACATGTATATGTTGTTTGTCTACATTAGGATCATCCAAACGAGCGTAAACCTCCATTCCTGGGAGTTCTTCTCAGTCTTGAAGAAACCTAGATGGTCCTTCACCGGCGGTGCCACGCCGCGTCGCCTGCTGCGAGGCGCAAGTATGAAACTCACGTATGGCTTCCACACAATTCTGCCCTTCGTCAGCCGCCGAGGAGCGTATATGATGCGTTTCCCCGGTGATTGCTCGTTTCAGTTGTGGACATCCTCCTTATAGCGAGCTACATTTCCTACGGAAGAACGTAGCTCCGCTCCCCTGTTTAAACGGTGTGGCCCGCCACCACCCTCGCCAGTCTTCTTGCAAACAACTGTTCCTCTTTTCTGCTTTTCCTGGGCGGAGGTGGAAAGTAAGCGGGCGTCGCAGCGGACCCGTCCAGACCGGCGGACCTCGGCACGGTCCTCTGCACTGGCTCCACATATGCCAACGGGGGTGGCCCTCTCACGAAGTCCTCGAAGTTGTCGATGATTATCTGGAGTATCCGGGATAATCGCTAGCAGACGGGACCCGCTGTCTGCTCCTATACAGAAGGCAGCTAGAAAGACGAGGTTGGACATTCAGGTTCTTGCCAAGCTCCATCCACGGGAGGGCGTAATGAGCTGGCAGCCGGGCGCGTCTGACTCACTTGTTCGCCGGCACCGAGGACTTCGGGCCAGCTGCGCGATCTCAGGTCGTGCACGCATTGCCTCGCTCCGGGAGACAAGACGGACACCGCGTCACGGTTGAAACCTTAGAGCACGGCACAGGCGCCGCCTAAGGCACTGTAAGGGGGGACAGGCACTTGCACGCCAACTTCCTTGCTGTGGCTATCTGCCCGTCTACCCCATGCCGCGGGTGTACATGTTTCAGCAACATGACAACCCAGCGCCTGCGCCTGCGTCTGCCACATGGAAAGCAGCGCCCCTGTCGCCATACGCGGCGCGGCAGAGAACTGCCACCGAGCCGGACTCAGACAGAAGGGCGGCGACGCAGGCGGTATGAAGTGAACGATATCTCGTGACGAAACGGCGTCGTGGAGGCCCCGGTCTGTAGGCGGGTAACCAAATCCAGTCTGCGCTGTGCAGGCCTCGATACGGAACGTGGACTCGTCTTTTGCGTGCGAGCCGTCACGCGTGGGCGTCCTCGCAGCGCGTTTGACATTAGTTCAAACGTGCCTAGACACAAGGCCGCGTTTGTTCGCGTAAGCCGCCCACGATCGAAAGGCACGAGGTAGGATTACAACGGCAGTGAACAGTGGTCCATCTCTTACATAGCGTTCTTCTGATGTAAATTATCCCATGAACAGCATCGCTCGAATGGGTCGTGCAGGCACAGAGTCGGAGTCCCGGCAGTGCGCAGAGCAACCTTAGCTTCCATCAAAACAACGTTCTTCATAGCCGAAGAGCGGGCGAGCGTGTCTGCGACCTCCAGCGCTTGCCCAGGGAAACACACGGCTGCAAGGCACGCCGGCACGTCTGACACAGAGCTCATGCTTAGAAGACAGCGGAAGAGCAAGTGTAATACTTACCAGCTTGGCAGCGAGTACAACGTGTCCTTTGCTCTGCTTGGAGCGCGTACACGCACTACTCGAGATATGTGCAAACCTGCCTACGTCTTTGTCGTGCATTTTTACCGCCGGAGCACTGGTACGTGACATTCAGTATGCAGCGTCCCGCTTGCAAGCTCTTAGTAATGCTGCTTAGCAACTCCCGCGCCCACGCCCTCTGCAGAAATTCTCGTGCTTTTCCGAAGGGTCTTTCCTCTGCCTTTTTACCCATACTGGGTTTCGGCGAGTACATCACCGAAAGACACGGTGGGCGCGCCTAAATGCCCCGGAGACACGCAGGAGCTCTGCACCCCCGCCGCATAACTTCGAATCTCATTCCTCAAGGCTGCCCCATTATCGAGGAAGACACTACTCACACCCGGAGGCAAACGTCTTCCGTGCTGGGCACCGCACCATACAGGGATGTCCTGACGAGCGTCAGTTAGCAGGTGTGGTCGAATTCGCGAAGGCGTTCGCGGCCGTTTCGCCTACAAGCCCGCTAAAAAGTAAATAGAGGAGGAAAGCGCCTTTCTGAGGTCGGACACGCAGGCGCCGCTTCGTGATTAGCGCCCGAATCACACCTCCGTTGTCTTGGCAAGACGCAAGACCGCCTTCATTGCATGTGATGCCTTTCTACAGGGCTGCAAACCAACGTCATACTGGGGACGGAGCCTTCGGCCGAGCGTGTCTCACGTACCGCAAACCAGACATACTAAGGCGGAACTGATGTGGACAGCGCATTACGTACAACGTAGCGTGTTGCTGCGGCACCACTTCCCGGAACGTAACTCTGTAATGTCGCAAGGCGCCCTACGTACAACATTCAGCCTGCTAACACACCACCAGGACCGACACACCTGTTCAAACTTTTAGCGGTAGCCTGGGGGGCGGCCTAAAGCTGGCTCGCTTATCGTCATAGCTGCGAGAGGATAAAGCGCAACGCGCTCTACTGAGTGTAGCAAAGGGGCTACCAGACAAGACGTATCCCTTCCGCCTCGAATTCCTTTCCTTCACACCTGTCACAGCTTCGTTGGTCTCCGTTCCGCGCCGTCTCCGGTATATGCCTTGGACGCCTTATATACCCGGCGCCGCATGCGAGAATTGAAGTGGATCCGTGTGAAGGTCATCCTCAAAGTGCCTAGCAGCAGTACCACTACGAGCCCCACTTTTCTATTCATATCATATTCTTTCTTCGCCGTTGTCCCCCGACGTCTGGCCATTCCGCATTTTTCCACCGGTACCAGCATGTGCATCATTAACACCGTTTGTCTCCGCGCTTTCCCCTCTGTCCAGTGAGCGAAACGCGCAGCCCAGGACTCCGCAGCTGAGACGGCGTCAAATCCCTCCCACGGCTTCAGCGCCCTAGCTGCCTTGGCTGTGCTCACCGATTCCTGGAAGTCGTATGCGCGCATAGGAACGACCGTTGGCACTCTCTGAGGTGCAGTATTTCTCTTGTCGTAGAGAGCAGTGGGTTCATACATCAGACAAAGCTGTGTTTAAAACTTCTCCTGCAAGAAAGGCGGACTGCAGGCGTGACATGCGAGAGGCGCAGCACACCACACAGGCAGTGTACAGAGATTTTATGCAAGCGTAGTACGGAAGAGACTACCGTGCTTGCTGGTGTAACCGCAGGCCGCGTCACATTAGTCTGAGCAGCCTCCCATTACTCCCACGTAGGCGAAAAGACGGTCCGCCTCGTCTTGTGACAGATATCTGGGTGCTCAGAACGTCGGCCCCCTCACTGCTACATCTCTCCATATGCCCGAACGCGAATATTTTTGGTCGGCGCGTTTACCTTCAAAAGATACACTGTCTATCATAACTGTGGGGCGTAACGACTGTTCCTCCGCTCACAGGAGTCCCGCCTTCTCCTGTACATCCTCGCTCTTTCCCGATATACTTGATACTACACGCTATTCTGGCACACAAGCTCCGGACCACTGAGGCCCACGTTGCACAGCTGCAACCGACACTGGCTTGCGGCCGGTTACGTGTATTCGCTACGTTTGTGAGCAGCTCACCTTAAGGTATACCTCTTTGCTGCCCTGCTAGGCCGCCGAATCTCTCCTGTAGGCTTGCGGAGCACGACGGCTGTGCGATGTAGAAGCGGCACGCAGTGAAACCGCGAACGCATATGCGTATACATGTGACAGTGTATGTGTACCTGTGTACATGTATAAGGAGACTACGTGCACGGACGTGGTATCCGACTCGTAGGACTGTCTCTCTTCCGCCATGGGGGGGGGTCTACTCGACTGACGGCGCCGCTCTGCTTCGTCGAGTAGTAGGCGCCGACCGTTGTTGCGTCTGATCAGGATCGCTGCCGGCGCTCCGAAACCGAGCATACATACACGCGGTCGCACTCGATGTGTTTCCGGTGGTAAAAACGACCGTCTGCTGTAGCAACACGCAGCACTTCTGTCTAACGGCGGCACGCTTATCGTGATGGTCATCAACGCTACAGCGACGTCAGCACAAATCCCTTCTTTCCGTGGGCAGAAATACAGATGTCGACAGGGATTGCCCGTCCGTCGCCCCTGGTCGCCAAGCTCAGCAACCTTGCCGGGTTGGACTCTCTGCATGTCTGGAATCGAGACCCGCTGCGAAGCGTTACAAAATCCCGGAGATGTAGCTAGGGGCGTGCCCGTGGCACGGCGTCAGCCGGTGAATGCCCCGTTTTCCTTGTTGTAATCTCGAAGCGCACCAAGGACGACTGGCTCCGGCATTTGCGCTTCCACCAGGCTCCCGAGCACGCCGTAGCAGAAAGACATTCGCAGCGTGTGAGTCGCCTGCCGCCAGTGACTTAGGGCGCTTCCGGGCATGTCGAGCTATTGTGGCCCATGCAGCGACTTTCCGAGTGAGCGGCGAAACGGACACTGAGAGAAGACCGAAAATTCTCCGGTCACCAGCGGTAGTGTGTACCCGCCAAAGGATGCTGGCGAAACCTGGTGTGCCGATAGTGCCGCCCTTCGTGATGCCGTCTGCTACCGTATGTGGTCGGTGCATCCTCAAGTTTCTCCCTGTAGCCGCTCCAAGCGGGAACGAAATCTATTCACACAGGACTGAGGCTATAACGGCGCAGGCGGCCTGAAGGAAGTGCCACCTGAGAGGTTTTGTAAGCAAGGCCCTCGACAGCAAGGTCCCGCACTAGCCTGCGGGTGTGTGGGAATCCTGGTGCACACTGGGTCCTCGGTAGCCTCCTTACGCCAGCACCATAGGATTTCCGTCTGAAGTTTTCAACCGCGTGAAACGAGCCGCTGCAAGGCCCTGACGTCTGAAACTGGCAAACCTTGCCGAGCAAAAAGAATTCATGTACCATTCCCATACCGCAAAGGATCTTTCCAGCGAAATACTTGGTAAATGCGTAATACCGTCATCATCACTCGCGTTCTCGAGGTCGTCACCCCTCAGAGGCACGAAGTCGTCGTTACGCTCGCCCCGACCTTATCGGTTCAAATAACACTGTTTTCCATAGCATGAGAGCAGGCGTGCGGCGTCTACCGCTCTGTGCTTGTCTGGTGAAACAAACTGGCGGGTGTCGATTTTAGAGGATGCGCAGTCGATGCCCTCGAAGGCGTCTCAGTGCCGCACACAAGCTGCGGAGACTTGCAGTCAGTCTGGGCGGTAGAAGCAAAAGTGTCGCTTTGAAAAACATAAGGTGGCGCTTACCATCTACGCAATGGTAACACCTCTTCGTTGTGTTTGTCTTAGGTCGTTAGACGCGGGTGAAGTCGGTCTGCTGGAGCAGGTGCAGGGCTGTTCCAGCGGTCCCCTGTCCTAGTCCGCGGTGTACGTCTTCACCGCAGCGCAGGACGTCGCCTTCTGTTCTACAGTGTCCGCACGTCTGGCTGTCGTTGTTGGCACTCCGCACGCAGCAGGAGTGTCCACTCTGCACGGCCGTTTGACTTCCTGAGGCCTCGCTCTCGCAACGTCAAAATGAGTGATGGTGCTCTTCTTAGTAAACGCAGAGGAAGTGTACTTGATGCCTTCAAACGCCGAGGTGACGCTGCGCACATACTCTGCACCGCGTGCGCGTCTCTGCAAGATCCGCCAGGTTTACGTTGCTCTCTGCCAAGCAGCGCTGCGTCCCGCCTGTGTAGTGAACTCCGATACTAGATTTTCATCCGCGAAAGTGGTACCCCAGCGCAACCTGTTATCGAGTCCGTTCTCTGCGGTACGTAGGGGAGTTATGCGGCTGCTCATGAGAGCCTTTGTCAGCTCATACAGTCCCTTCTCTGAAGCGCATGGCGCACTTCTTTCCACAAGAGTCCATGAAGATATATATCGAAGAGACGGTACCCCGTCTCTGAAACGCAAGCCCGTACTCGTATTCGGCGGTCGACAGACCTATGGCGTCACGTCGGAGAGAAAGGCGGCCTCACTTTCTACAATGCCGCTCTGCATATCAGCAGGCCGATATGTCACCTGCCTAGCGACGGGGCTGGTTTCAATTTCTCTTTGAACAAGCCTGTCGCCGAGCAAGCTTGTTTCTGTTCCTCATTGAACGGATGAATATCCGCTGCATCACAGAGAAGCTAGTTCCGGGCAGGATTTCGCCTTTAACGTGGCCTACTTTCTCGCGCTGATTCGATCACTCCCGGGATACAACGCTGCTGTGTCGCAAGTTATTGGTGGCACTGCGTGCGCCACTGACGCAGCCCCGGAGCCGTCACCCTTCTTCAGAGTGTGAGATTTGTGACTGCGGTTCTGAAGCAACCCACGTAGGCAGCCTGTACAGGACTGTTTCCAGTATGACTGAGCGGCCACTGGACGAAGGGTGCTGCTTCCCCTTTGCCCTACACACCTTGCAGGTCGCGGCTGCGCCCCTCGCGCTTCCGGCGGCGCCCCTCGCAAACGTCAGACGCCACTGCAGCACCACAGAAGAAAACTAGTAGCTCCTTCTGCAGATACTTGAGCGCCCCTTTTACCACGCTTAAGTTCGTACCAGCAGCGTCGCTCCGCTTTGTTACCGTGCTTAGGACTTCCCAGTTCTTATCAGCGCGTCTGAGGTGTCCCCTGCAGCGTCCGCCACCTGAATGAGCATCCCCCGCAACCTTTTCACGAGCGCTCTTCTCTGCATGCACGCAGCGTGGCGGCCCACAGAAAGCGGCTCGGCAGGGACAGACGGGGGCAGCAGTCTCGCAACACCCCAACGCCTTAGCTGCTTTGTTTTGCTAGTCGTTCTGTAGAAGTCGCATGCGCGCAGAGCAGTCCCCGCTGCCGTTTTCTGCGGGCTCTCACGTCACTTCTTGTAGCAGGCAACAGGCATGCGTCTTCAAGCGAGAAATCATTACACCTTTCCCTTGCATGAACGACGGTAGCGTGTATGAGTTGCCGGAGACGCTGCTGCCGCACGACACGCAATTCAGCACCTCCACAGAATTGTGGCAAGCGCGGTAAAACAGGATCGCCATGCCCACTGCTCCCGCCCGGAGCCGCGTCACATGATTTTGTCCCAGTGCGTGTCATTCCAGCAAAAATGTCATGAAAAATAAACCCCGTTCCGTAATTTAAACCAGGCTCTGATGACTTCTGTGCCGTCCCTCCAACACCTTGCCGCGTGCCACGCGTCAACAACACCGAGCGGTTTTCTTACCTTCAGAGGAGGAACTGTCTCCCAAGAGCACGGAGCGTAGCGTGTGCTCATTACCGGCAGGGTTGCTAGGTTGCGCTATGGTACTTTGCTGGAGACTTATCTGTCGGCCGCAGAGGACGCGCTTCCCTCCCTCTTTTTGCGACGTGTATGTGACCCTCGAGGATTACAACAAAACCCTGTTCTTTCCAGCATTTCCTCACCGAGCAGGCGCGCCGTCGCGAGACATGGTGCTCTCGGCCGCAGAATTTAGAAGATGTGTTTCTGTGAGCTGAAAGCCGGATCTGCAGATTTGGCACCACCTTTCCATATTGTCACACGTACATGTTCCGACAGACAGCAAGCCCGCTCGGTGGTACGCAGAGGCGACCAAGAGGCCCTCCATGGCCCGAGGCATAGGCACACCAACGTCAGCGCCTGTCACAGTGAGGAGTCACTGTTCTTACGGATACTGCGGTCTGCGTTCGCTGGTAGAAAGAATCGACAAGCATTCTAGTCTTTGCTGGTACTGCTCCGTATCTCTTGCCGCGCTCCGTTGCTCGTATCGCTACAATTCTGCTGAGCCTCTCCAGCGTGTTGCCCACGAAAATCATCCTAAGGTACGTGAATTAGGTCCCTGGCCCTTCTCGCGCAAAGGGTGTACCAGGTTTCTCTGAACCCGGAGGAGAGAGCGCTCATAAATTTCGATTTCTGCCTTCGATTCCACCAGCGCGTCAGTGTCCATCTGGCTTCCCACGCAGCAGATCTGTTTCTCCAATCTGGACCTTCTTCTGAGCTGCGAAATTCTACCAGCAGCAAATGTATCCTGCCAGGACCCCGGTGCTGGGAATACCGTAAGGAAGCTTCCGCTGAGTGTCCTTTACAACCGGTGGAATTCTCCAGGGCTTGTGGCGCTATTCTTGCCACTGGAGCCCATGAAGATGCATAGGAGAGGAGACTCGGCCTCCGCGGTCAAGAGGCACAGGATGGTCTGCATTCACCTCTCCATCGACATACCTTTATGGTGCTTTCTTGGGGGAGAGACGAGGGGTGTCGGAATGCGAATTAGCAGCGGAAACGGGTGTGGTGGACGGCGGAGGATTTCTATGACTCGCTTAGCTACTGAACGTCGGGATCTATGCCAGGCCGGAGTGTTGCATGTGAACAGCAGTCATCTTTTAGCTCAGCGTACCTGTTGTTGCTGGTCGGAGCATTTCCGGAACACACGACTATGGCGCCACAAGGTGTGGAGACCTCGCTTGCCTCGTTACAGCAGCTCAGATACGGACCGAAGTGTCTGCAGCAACTCTTTTCAAAGAAAGATAGCACTATCATTGTCAATCCAGCGGGCAAAAAGAGCTACCTCCCCTTGCAGAAAGGTGGGCGCAAAGCGCTAAGATACATGCATGCCTTGTGGACCCCTCTCCCGCTGCAGTCACCCGATTGTGACTGGCTTCCCTTCACCGCTTTCATCATGTACCGCGCGAACGGCATTCACAATTTCGAGGCCGCACGCTATAACTGAAGCCGCCTAACGTGTAGTTCTCACCGTAAGTCACACCCCCCTCCCGCGGGGGTTGCCGCCATACATTACAATCATAATATTCGTACCTCGCCAGCCTCCTCAAGCCGCGGTCATTTCACGGATACCAGTATGAACACTTCGGAGATAATTTTCCTCCCGCGTTCTCCTCTACTTAAAGCAGCGGACTGAACCTGCAGGCGGCGATTTCGCACCTCACAAGGTGTCGAGTTCTTCCCGCGTCTACAGCCCGTAGCCGCCGTGGCTGTGCTCACCTCCTCCTGAGAGTTCCCGGCTCGCCAAGGAACCTTCCTGTGGCGCCCTCAGCAGTTCCCTACCGCCGTTCCTTTGGGAGGCAACAGAATACCTCATTAGGCCAGAACTCACTTACAGCTGCTCTTGCGAGAAAGGCTGGCTGAGAGGTCTGGAACGCCAGAGCGAATGTTTAAGCGTAGCTTACAACTGGCCTAACGATGCCACTTTGCGCTGCTTCGCCTGGAGCTCTACAAGAATCTGTCATTCCTAAATATTCCATAAGTAGAGGCTCTCTTCCCCGTGCGTGGAGCCTGTGGGTCTCTGGTCTCGGTCACATCCCTTCCACTTCTTTTCGTGTCTCACAATATGAACAGACTCTACGTCCAGGCAGCGGCCACCGCCGACAATTCCAGGGTTGCATCTGTCCGCCGGTTTTTCTAGTGCTAGTAGGGAAAGGAGGAGTCGCTCTAGCTTCTCAGTGTATGCCCTGTACACTGTACACGCTCGCCGAACTCTCGTGTAAAAGCAACCAGCTCCCGAGAGTACGCAAAACGCCGTGTAACTGAGCATGACTTTAGCCAGGAACGGCAGACGCTAGGTCATGAGCTGGTGCGCGACCTGGTGCAGCCGGCGCTGCTATTCATAGAGGCCCTCTCCGGGGTCTCTCGCTCGGCCGCACTCGGACCGAAAATTCGTTTCCTTCTTCGTGCGTATTACGCGTTAAGATGCCGCGGTAGGGGGGCGCACGAGCAAAAGGGGGAGCACATATACATATAGAGATAAATATATATATATATATATATATATATATATATATTTCCCTCAAGACCTTGGTGCACGTGCATGACTTCGTCGAAGTAGTTGTTTTTGATGATATTACATAAATGGGCCGCGCACGCGTCACTCTGTTGCGCACTGCAGCGTGTAGCATGATGGTTCTTTCGGCGCACAGATGCTAATGGCTCGCCAGAGGGTGCGCACAAACCCGTATAATGTATTCGCGCGCTGCGTTCCTCCGCCTGGTTTTCTGAGAGAACAAAGTACTTTTCACTCGCTATAAGAACGTCGAATACACCGGTGGCCCCATCAGAGTACAAGGGAGCTCTGCTCACAGCGCTGCGTTTCGTTGGCAGACAATGCAGTGGGAGGTCGCCGTGGCTCGCCGTGTGTCGGCTTCACAGGGTGCCCTCTTTGCAGAGACGTCGAGGCTGTAACACTGAATAGAACACGCCAAGCGTTAGAGGTCCGAAAGTGTTCAGCCCCAGGGACGAGTGCGCAAACTATGCTTACTGTCTGCGACGATTACGAAAATCAACAGGTAAGAGTACCGCTCTAGTCTGTACACCTGCCAAGCACCGTCAGGACCAGACTCCAATGAAGCTGTGATCAGCCTGCCGGCAAGCGGGTGAGGGCTCTTGGCGTCTTCTCACGACGTTGATGTGCACGCGCTGCGCCGCTAAACGAGGAACGTAACAGGCGTCGGGTCACGATGAAAGAGCTCGGTTTCCGTACCGCCGCGGTGTCGTCGCTTATAGAAATGTGCGCGAAACAGAGTCTTGTACGCGGGCCTTGTTGCTTTGCGTGCCTTATCCTATGCGCGCTTGAATTAGAAAAAGGTAGCGCAGACTCCAGGCCTCCGTATGACGAAATAGTAGCGTACCTCTTGACGTAGGCTGCTGAACCGAGCACTATCATTGTATCACGCCGGAGACGTGCTGGCTGGTGGGGTGCTAAAAAAATTGTTATCTGATGAGTTTTGAGAACCAGGCGTATTCCGGCGGCCTCCGGGTGCAGCACGTAACAAACAAACTCCGCGACCAGGAACCAGCGCAGAGTGGATTACAGAAACAGTACATTCTCCGCGCTTTTTTTTTGGCAGGCTCGGGACCCGTAAAAGACCTCGTCGCACAATAGATGCATTGCCGGGCCGAACTACGACGTCCTCAATTAAAAAATCACGCTTCACTGGAGGGCACTGAAGTCAGAGCGCAGCTTACCGATTCTTCATATCATAGCTAGCGGAGAGTATCTCACTGTCGCTATCCTTCGTCAACAACGCGTTCTCTGCAAGGCTGTTTGAGTGGATGCCGCGAGCTCATCATGTTGTCCGCGTCCCCGCAGCGCTCGCATCGACCTCATTGTTAGACTCGGTCGGCCGTTCTAGCCGGCTGATTCCGTGCCCCAATCCCCTTCAAGGCCACACCGGCGTGGAGTTTTCTGATAGTGCAAACTCCTCGTACAGCTGCAGTAATTGGAGACGCCCTTTTGCAAGCATGCTGCGTAAATGCGCTTCCAGAACCCTTCAACATTAGAGTCCTCACCATCATACACTCTGCACGAATCCTGCTCTTCGACACACCTTAATGATCAACACCGCATGTGGTTCACCACACCACGGCGCGGCCTGAAGTTTCCTTAGCACCGAATTACCCAACTAGATCCTTATGAGCTGTCGACCAGGAAAGAAAAGACAACTCTAGAGACCATAGCCAAGAAGGCGAGCAGCGGGGGACAGAGGCCGATACAGGATGCGCAGACGAATCCTGCTCATCTGCGCTCTAGCGTCTGCCTGTGCGCATACCTATATTTGGACTGGTGGCTGGATTCATATTTGAGATTGCCCACTGTTGTCACTATCTCGGCATCTGACACCACTTTCCTGCATCGATCAACTTCGTTGTTTTAGAGCACACTTCATCCCACTGTAGCAGCAGAAATCAAGGAGAACTTTGAAAGGCAGACGCCGTAGCTGGGCGTACATGCAGGTACGCACCGTTACTCGCACGTGCCTGCGTTGGTCCTTACCAAAGTCTTGTGTTGTAGCCCCTACTGCCCCGGCGGCTTGTGGTCCCCGCTTTGTGCAGTTGTCCAGCCTCCTCTCCAATGCAGCCGGCGAGAGCGGCCTTCTACGGGGCCCTGGAAGGTTTTATGTCTACTTGGCACAACGTGAGCCAGGCGAGTAAGGAGCCGCTCGCTCGTCGTCTTTTAAGAGACGTACAGCAGCACTAGTAACCGGGGAAAATCCGCGCGCTCCCGGCTCCGCAGCCTCTGTGCACACGCCGGAACTCCTCTCGGCCGGCACGGCTTTTCACACACACCCGTTGTATTGCTCCTTCTGAGGTCGTTCTCCAGCGTCGAAGCCGTGCCCGGCGGAGAGCGTACAAGACTTCCGCCGTGCAGCAATCCTTCGTGCTGCACGTGTGGGCGGCACGCTGCTCTACTCATGAGTGTCACTTGCCTTAGGCACCCTGGCATGTACAGCTGCACGATCCCCTTCTTTCCAGAGGAGCGCGCAAAGAAGGGTAGGCGACAAGGCGAGACCTTCCCCTTTTCAAGGGTGATTCTTGTCCCGACTATGTTCCGCAGTGCGCCATTCTAATGGAGGAGAGCACGGGCGGCCTTTCTTGCTTTCGAGGCAGAACGCGCAGCAAGAAAGTGCGACGCAGCGTACTGCGGCTTTCTCTTTGCCTTCGGTACGGAAACCGCCGGCAGCATGGTCAAATGCGGACAGCGGTCTTCCTATATCGTAACGTACTTGCTGTATCTGCTCCACGTAGTGAACAACACAAGGCTACGGCGTAGCACGAGAGCGAGGCGCGCTACGCAGCCCGATAATGCAGCTCTGGTTGCCACATTTTTGTTTAGGATATAACTGGCTGGTCATTCCGACGTAACGAAGCGCACACAGCCAAGGCGTCTCCTTGACCTCAACATGCCGCCGGGGCCAGCAGAAAAGAAGCCCTTGCGCCTAATACGCTTCTGACCTACACTTCCTAGGCACCCGATGTCTTCTCTACCATGCTACAGCCGGTGCTCGTGACGGGCCACGCGCACCGCGGCGGCTTCGCATAATGCAAGCGCTTGCTCCTCTCGAGGGTCCTGGCGGAGACCCTCAGTGCCCCACGTGTCACAGCCATCAACGAGACAGCATTACAAATACCATCCTCATCTTTTACGATTTTTCTCCTTCCTTCCTCGCTCCAACTGACGTCATGATTAGGAAGGTATTCCCACATGCGACCCTTGACGTCCGCGAAAAGACCAGCTTCACAGGGGTTTCCGGCAGCAGCAGAGATAGCACGTGCTCTGCAAGGCTCAAAGGCTGGAGCTCTCGCTGCTGTGCGCACCACCGACCGGGCCTATACGCGCAGAACGGTGCCCGCTGACCAGTTTTTCGTGTCTGCGATGAACGCGTCCACCTCGTGGAAGCGCTGCCGGGGGGCCTCAAAAGTGCTTGTACTCCTCAGTACGCGCTAGCCTGCTGTTACGATGAGCAGTTGTCTGCCCGGTGGAGGCCTCGCAGAGAGGCGCCCCTGCATATAGCCCTTGCGAGCAGTGTACCCCGGCCTCACACCTACTTCTGACGCCAGACCATACCTGCTTGCTCAAGACCTATATAATCATTCGCAAGTCGACCGCCGCAGTCGCCGGCCCCGGGGAACGTAGGGAAGTATGGCTTTCCACCTCAAGCAAGGGTTCACGTCTTCAGCTGTAACCGGCCCAACCAGACCGTATAAGGCTGCAGATCTTTCCTCCAGCCTTCCATTGACATTGCTCATGCTAGTCTACAATTAGTAAGCCTGTGGGTAGCCCTCCTCCTTCTCCTTTTATACGACCGTTTTTGACGCCGTGTACGCACGACTTTCTCCTGCTGCGATACAAAAAACGCTGGGCCACGGGCCAGGCTGAACACGTGCATTCGTTCGTTCTGCTTAGGGTATCTCCACTGCACGCCGCCTCGTGTAAAAGCATTCGTGCTGGGGACGTCGTCTGCTGTGCCCTGCCGCAGACACGTGCCGGTTCTATCGTAGCTTCGGTATCTGGAAGTACAGGACCGCCTCGGTATATGGTCGTAGCTTGCTGTTGGCGCGACACGCTACACACAACTCCTCGTACTATTTCACTAGTCCCGGGCGTGTAGCGTGCGTCCTCTTCTGCCAATAAAAGTGTCCTTTTACGAGATCCGTCCGCCCGGAGTAACATTGCGTGCCTCCACGACTGCTTTGCTCCGCGTAATAGTCTCGCCCCGGCCTCAGCACGCACAAACGACCAGTGGCCGCCACACTATCGTGAGCGGCACAGCCCAGAGCCCACTGTGCCGGCTTACGCTACATGGCAGGTCGCCCTTATACTAAGTCCTCAGCACTTCAGGTCACTCTATTAACTCTAAATGGACTGCTCAGGAAGCTAGTTGGACAATAATTCGGCGCTTCCGTGGCACAGGAGGTGTATAAGAACTTACGACAGCATACCTATCACAGGTCGCGCCAGCGCGAGGTGGACCTCTTTAAAGCTGACACTCACACCCCTACCCCGCAGTATGATGGTGACAATGTAGCATCTCGGAATCTGGGATAGGTGTCTCGCCGGTACTTTGGTGGATGCGCTTTTTTCACGCCTGCGGCACATGCGCTGGCATTCGCCTTTGTACCTCATACGTGCCGATGAGACACATATATTTTGTACGCGTTGGTACATATATCTATACATGCATACACACATTTGTATCAGTGCGCACTCGGACGTACACCAGACGCGTGAGGGGGCGGGCATTTCAGCTTTACGGAACGCACATTTTTTCTCGCAGATTGGCGTACGTGCACGTAGAGAAGAACGTAGGACCGGCCGTTGTTCCGGCCACCGAGTTTCCATTTGTCCACGGGCGCCTCTTTTGTTCTGTCTGTAACGCGTTTGCGTGGCCGTGATCGACAGCTACACCGGATCGGTGGGTCTTGTGCGCCTACAGCCTACTAGTGTACCTGCGTTCGGAGAGTTGTTTCCGGGTGCACAACCGCGCACGCATTTGGTGGGCCGTTGACACCGGGAGCCCCAGTCGCAAAGCGTCTAAGCTGACCCAACCGGCGAACACCATATCGTCAATAGAGCAGCAAGGCAGAACCTGCCTAGGCGCAGGGGATGGTACACAACTTAGATTTATCATCCGGCAGAACACAGGTCGTGTGTAGGAGCCGCAACGCAAATGGCTCAGGCGGTGCCCTGTGCCTAAATGTTCCAAACATGCATTCGCCGTCACTGCTCAGCCACGCGCGCCCGCGGGATGGACCACGCGTTGTCCCCCGACGTCAGAGGGTGTCAGATGCTGCACGAACACGGCCATGCAACCCCGGATCTTGCCCAGTGTGCGCCCCAGCAAGCGCCCGAAAGTGCTGGGACCACGGTGACGGGTGGAGACGGCCCCCCCAATCGGAGCGACCGGCAGCGCGACCAGCGTCTCGTTGCATACCGTATGGAGGTGCAGTGCGCAGTGTGTGGACCTCCAGTTTTCGTTCTAGCGCTCGGGTGCCAGTATTCTTTTTCCCGCCTTCCGACCCTCAGTGGCTCCATAATCTTTTGCGGAAGTAGCAGAGCCCGCAAGTGCGGTGGTGGAAGATTGTCTAAAGGCAGGAGATTTGTCCTGCCTTCAAAATCAGGATGGGAACATGTACCGCCGTGCAAGGGCTGGCTCTCAGGACCTCAGGCGAGGCGCTGCTCGCACGCTTCTCGACGCCGAAGTCGTCGCGAACATGTTTGTGGGACGCGGAATTGCAACACTCTTCCGTTGTGGATTTCCACACGTTGAGAACACACGCCCGGCGCATCCTTGAGCGTGCGCATAACCAAGGGCCCTCTGGCGATGAGCATTGCCAGTTTTGCGTATGAGGATCCCTCTTCTGCTCCTCACGGGGTCTCAACAGCACTAGTGAAATCGGCTCTTTCAGTCTTGTCTTACACACATGTTGCGCATCTCTTCGTCCAAAAGGGGGCTGGCAGAGTAGCGTGTCACGCTGTATGCTACAGCCCGCAGTGATTCCGTGGTGTATACGTATGTGTTGTTCAATGTTATACGTGGCCAACCGTGGATCTGGCGGAACTGTTCATCAAAGCGAACAGCGCTCCCGCAGTTGCGGTAGCAGGATAGTTCTTTGATGCGGGAACCACTTTTTTTTCTCGTTGGGGAGGGGGGCGACCGTCACTGGGAGTTCGTCTCAAAAGACGGCTATCTGTACAGAAGGAGAATTCTGGGACCTTTTGCAGACCAGGACTCCATCCGCAGAGCGGATTTCGTGTCCGATCCCCTGTGCCTCTCACTCTCTCGTATTCAGTTGCGGCTACCTCAATGCGGAACCGCATCACGAAGGATACGAAGTGAAAACGGCTTCTAAATACTACACTGCGGTGCCGTTGTGCACTCACTGCTCCATCGTAACCCGGCCCAACAGCCTCTGCCGCGCGGATTGTGGAACGGACTACTGGCAAAACTCGTAATCGCATGATCACGCGTACGACGCCTCTTCCTCTGCATCAGACAATGTAGCCCATCTGCTCGATCACTCGTGCCCAAGACGTACGCCGAATGTGCGCGTAAGCTTATGATCTCAGCAACCCGTTCTGTCTGCTCGGTCCAGCGGCTGCTCTGCAACACGCGTGGCCGCTGGTGCCCCGCACCATCTCGGCTCCGCAGCTCGTTACATCGTGCGTCCGCGAAGTCTTTACAGTCATCGAGACTCTTTCCCTAGCGTCGTAGGCGCGGGAAAGCTGCAGAACCCTATATGTCGTGCGCCCCTATTAGCCGAGAACGCTGATTGCCTTCTCCCTGTTCCGGGCTGTGCGTCACCTGCACGCAGTCCCCTTTCGCAGGCAGCGCTCCCAAACTGCGCGACCGCTTGTGCGGCTTCTGGGTGTTGCGGCTCCAGTGCCTTACGCAAGCATTGACAGCCAGCCTCCAAAGCTTTGTCATGCTGGCGAGCTTCCCTCAGCATCGTCGCACGTAATTGCAGAGCGGACCTCACAGCATCTTTCTCGTTGCTTCCGCCTGCGTCTCTCGCTCTTCACCGGTAAGGCAGGTATCTGGACAAATGCCTCCAGGTTTTCCGCGATTACCACTGATACGATCGGCTCTACGCTCGACGGCGAAAGGTCAGGCGTTGTCACGCGCCTTCGCCGCGAAGCCGAATTTCTCCTCGTCGACTACCATCCACGTACTCTCTGAGCGCCGCTCAAAGTAAAGCCTAAATGACGCCAACGCATGGCCACAAGGTGGGCGCACTACTTGGTACCTCGATGGAATGTGCCTGGCTCACAATTATATGCAAGACTCAACCGTTGACATAGTGGGTGCTTCGCTTTATGCTAAGGCGTCGCACGCTCCCTTCCACATGCATGCAACTGGCTTCTGAAAAACGGCACGGACGACGGCACGGACGCGACATTCTGACGCAAGTGTCTCGAACATATTCCACACTCATTAAGGTGGAAGGCTGTGCGTGCTGGAAGAAGCCGTTTACTGCGCCTTTAGCAGATCTTCTTCTGGGTTGCTGTTATCCTTGACTGTGCCTGCCCGGCGGGGGGGCGCATAACGTCGTGCGCTGAAAGCACGATTGGCGCGTGGCATCGTGTAGTTGACAAAGAAGTGCGATTTGCTCTCGTTGTCTGATAATACGTGGCGCCTCGTCCCTACGTGACGTAGTTGGCCCTTCTCGGAGAAGAATGTAATTCCACCACGGCCCTGGAGTCAAAGAGGTCGCGCGTTCCGCCAAGGCCTCATTTCCTCGTTCCCAGGGACGAGCTACAGCTAAGCGTTCCTCCTTCACGGGACCAGTACGCTAAGCAAAAACTGCCAAGAGCTTAGGGGCGCATCGCCTATTGCTCTACCACTGCAGGTACCCGCACATCATTCACAAATACTGCTTCCTTCGTGCTTGCCAGTACTGCTCCAGATACGTCGCCGCGGACTAGCCTGTGCGAAACTTTCCTGAAAAGCGTACGCTGGACTAGCAGAGTAATGACTCCCCAAACGGAGGACGCCTCCACGCGGACGCCGCCAGCGTCGTATCCGGACGTTCATTTTGTTTATGAGTGGGTACGCGGCACGGCAGCGCCGCTGTTGGCGAGTGCTTTAGCTCAGAAGGCGTTGGTCCACTAGTAAGAAAATAAGGACGATGTCCAGGAAGGCTACGGCTTCTGAGGAGCCCGCAAAAGATCCAACACAAGACTCACGATCTGGAGCTCAACGTTTGCCGGCGCGACTCATCACGACATCCAGCTTGTTTCCGAGTGGAACAACGCCACGGCTCCCCGGCCGCATGCGGGTGTTCTGGTTCAAAACATGATAGTTCACCCAGAACAGCCGGAAACACCCTCTCCGGGAAGGGTACTGCAGGTGATGAGAGCCCGCAGAACTCGACGCAGGACTCACTCTCTGGAACTGAACGTTCTTGCACGCTAACGCCCCGAAACGCTCACCATATACCGGCGCGGAGCATCAGCACGGCCCCGCGGCTTTGGCGGGTGCGCTGCCTCAGAACGTGGCACTACACTAGTAAAGAGCAAATACAAGTGCTACAAGGGTGCGGTCCTCGGTAGGTACCTGCTGAGTTTCACACAGCGCTTACTCTCTGGAGCGCGGCCGATGCTTTGCTGCTTGGGTTTGGGTCCACGCAACGTTTACCGTCCAAACTTTCTCACCAGCTTCCGCATTCTGCCACCACATCAATATGGACCGTGTAAAACAATGGCTGCGGTTCCAGGTTGCCTTCTTCATGGGGGATGCCCTGTGCCCTCCGTTTTACGTGCACCACTGCCGCACAGCGGGCCACGACCCAAGGAAAGACTGTTTCTGTTTTTCAGTCCCATGTGCAGCAACCTTGTATCATTGTCTTGCACATAGCTAGACAGCGCGCACGCCCTCACGATGCCTCCACCCTGCAGGCTTCCAGCGATCTGCTGAGCGCGGGGTCGCCATTGGTGCAACCTGCCTTCAGACTTCGAAGGCGCTGGTCGCCCGAAGTGCCAGAAAAACTCCAGTTCCCGAGGAATGTCGCAGCAGACGTCGTCTCTGAGGTGTAGGTTTTTTAGGCCCGATATGCCTACGGCGGAAGGGATTCCGCGTATTATGCGACGTGCCACGTTACCTTCAAAGAGCCATTGTTCCCAGGTCCGAATGACTGATTATGCCAGCGCGCAAAAAGCTCAACGGTTTGGAGTCCGAAATGCAGGGAAGCCCATCTTATTCGGCGTTTCACTAAGGACAAACGCATACGTCCCAAATAAATTTTGCAATCCGCCACGAGACGCGGCGCGGAGACCTGTGCCACTCGCGCTCGCGTACGCATCTTCCAAAGCGCTACACACGACATAAGAGTCTCTTCCCTATAGGTCCCACTACTTGCGACTCGCGCTCTACGGAGCTGCACCGGCTGTGTAGGCACATCGGCTGTCTACCAGGTAGGGCGCGTACGATACTGCATGAGACGGAGGTCCGCGGCCTTTTTACTGCGGCTGATCTCCCGTTCATCACGGGACCGCCACTGTGAACGTCAGTGCACAACCGATAGACCTGTTCGTCAATTTAGTCACAGGATAGAGCTGCGTGAATCCTGCGGCTAATGTGTCTTCCGGGAGAACCTGGCGAGGACAATATCTGCAGTTCTATTATCTCTCCCACTTCACTTCGTCAGGTCCCCGTCAGCAGGTCGCCCCACCTGTACCAGCGTACCTACCACACACTATCAACAGTCAAGAACGCACAGAAACCCCGGGCAAGCAAAAACACGCGTACAGCTGCGAGGTGGTGCTCATACTTCTTTCTGCGCGTACGCTGGGCCAAGGAGGCAGCCGTTTAATACGAGTATGCCGTGAACTGGCTGCCCCGGCTTACTGTATTACTAGAGGGGTGCTTCGGCTGTCGAAAACGGTGTTTTCTCACGTATTTCATCCTATCCCCCGCGCTTCGCGATTGCAGTCGTGCACACAAACAGGTTGTGTAGAACTGAGAATGGTGGACTCCCCCCGGACGGAGCGGGAGCTACACTGGCACGCAGTCCTCTAGATCAGGACCCCGGTGTGGGCCGTTAGCACTGTGACATAAGTTACCCACAGCCTGTTTTGTTCACCAAAGAGGAGATAATACCCAGGCTCAACAGTACAAAAAGTTGCCTACCAATGTGAGAAGCAGCGCATACAGGATGAATGCACTCGCGTCTTACAGACTAGCAGCTTCAGGGAACCGACTGTTGTGATGCGGGGGCTCACGAGTAGGAAGTTCTCAAGGATACATAGCTGGATAGCGGCGCAGAACAAGCGAATGATGAGCTTGACTGCTGTGTGGATCCCCGGGTTTCTGAGCTAGTAACACCTAACCTATCGTAATGTGGCATAATCTCCTCTTCGCACACTCACGCACCGGCAAGCGCAAGCAGCGCGACGACAGCATAGGCACGCATACGGGATTGATGCTTTTTTGATTTCAAGAGCATCCCATGCCGACCTCCTTGCAGAATTCCAATAGGGTCTGAGCTGCACACACGACAATGTGGCTGATGTCCCAGAGAGAATATAAGACGGTAGACAGCTACGCAGCTCCTTACGGGTAAACTCAGAATAGCCATCTTCATTTCGAACATCGCTGTTGTCCCAGCCAGCTCCGCCAGCCTCTAGCCTCCTTTCACAGTGTACTCACTTCTGCGGACGACCGCCGTGCGAAGACATAGCCGCTACCGGAAATTGTTCCGCCGCCCTGCAGTCTACTGCGCGCTGTCGTCTTGACCGTATACAAAATGAACAGCGGTAGGCCATATGTGTGTGATGTGTAAATAGGACTTCACCGCAAGTACTAGCTGACAATTCAAAATTGTGAGAGGTCTCTTTTGTATCCCTTCAAGAATATTAGGCATTCATGTGGTGCTGTAACACGCACCCCACCGCCTGGTGTGCAGACACCGCTGCATGCGCAGAGGTGCAGATGCACGCTGTACACCATAACACGCAGTTCCCACAGATATCAAACAAATCAGGACCATGGACAGCGCTGCAGTGCCCGAGACGTTTTGTTGAGGCCGGTTAACAAAGAAATGGACGCGGTCTGTAGGAGTGTCCCCTGAGGGGCCTGCTGCCGACACGGAGCCCACAAATTCTGTGATGGCCGCACTTGATTCCTATTCTGTAGAGGTGATAATATCGCGACAGCAGCCCAAAGTCGTCGGAGGGACAACCCTTCTGCAAACCGTGCAAATGCGGCTGGCTGGAAAGCTGGCAGTGCGAAGCAGGGCCAGCCCCTGTTGTGGCGGTATTCGCATAATTCGTGTCCTGTGTGTGACACGGCGACAGTAGTCCACATCGCCTGAAATGAACACTTGGGTCGCCTGCTGGGTAAACTCCTCTAGTTGAAAAGCTAGTGTTGCATAACTACCACTGGATGGGTGATGACTGTACTCTAGTTGAGCCAGGATCCTTGGTGGAATTGCAGTCTTGTTTATCACCCAGGATGTTAAGGGAGAGCAAAGAGGCTTCTGTATTAAATGTATGGAAGCTCTACTTGTCAGCATAGCTTCATGCGACACAAACAAGGAGCGAAAATTACATTTTAAACCAGAAGAGGCGGTACATCTGTTGCATGCGAGGTTGAGGCACCAAGGTACTGTAAGAATATTTTGAGCGGAGCCTCCTACTACGGCTTACTATGATGTAGCCCACGTTCTTTGATGTGGTATGATTGGTTCCGGTTGCGGAGCAGTATAATTCTTCTGTGAGGCGATGGGAGGGGCCCCCGGGGGGGGGCGCGGGGGGGGAGACATCTCTTTTTGTAGTAGGAGAAGTTTCGTTTGTCATCCAAAGTTGCGCAGTAATGAGCATAGAGGGGGCGGGCAGCGGGGCTTGTCTTGTTGCGTAGCTGGTACGGTTTGATCAATGGCGCACGACGGTGTACCGTGGCAGTGAGGAGAAGAGGAAGCGAAGTCTTCTAATTGCTGCAAATATTAAGGATGCGGCACATATACAGCATTGAAGTGTGTTTTACACGGTATTACCAGTGGCATTTCACTACTGTTACCAGTAGCAAAGGTAAGGAGAGTAGTAACCGTAGTAGCAGGTCACAACTGTTCTTGTATGGTAGTGGCCACCAGGCGCGTAATAGGCGGCGTTAGTGTTGTTTTTGTACGGTAGATTCGAGCGAACGTATGGTAGCCGGACGTGGATTGTACCAAGAGTCCGTAG